CCGCCCCTTCACTCCTCCCCCGCCCGCGGACAGCTGGGCAAGACTCCGCCCACAGCCGGAGATGGAATGGTTTTGCCGCCGCCTCCCCCTCCTCCTCCTCTGCCCCTCCCAGGAAACAGAAGCTCCTCCCCCTGCTCATCCTCAGGCCCGCCCACCATGCCTTCCTTCCCATCAGGAGCCGTTTCGTCGCCGCCCACTCACTCGGGTCACGAGGTCAAGAGGTATCCATCCAACCTTCCACCAATCAGCAACGCCCGCAGCGTTCTATTGGAGGCCATCCGTAAAGGTAGGCGGAGTTTCGCTCAAGTTCACTTAGTATATGCAAATCAGGTATCTGTCCAAAATCTACACTAAAAATAGTTGCACAGTACAATATAATTATACATATTTTATTTTGTAATAATTATTCTATACCTACAATCAATAAGTTTCTACAGTATTTTCATGGCTGATTTGATTACGTCAATCGCAATGCATCATGGGATTCCCGTCTAAACTTTTAATACACGGAAAGCTACATTTAGAATAGGTAGCATACGGCTCTATTTCTGCCATATCTTTATATATTTTAATGTGCTAGTATGCTATACTAAATTCAGCCTGTATTTGTCTTTTTTACTATTTTTATTTTGCTTCGAATCAAACATTTTATTGTTGTGATTAATCTCAGAACACTTTTTTTTTTCTAAAAAGAAAATAAATGGAAAAAATAAGTAGATCAAGTAGATATTTTTGTGGTTTTTCATGTATCTAAATTACATATTCAGATATTTATTAGGATATTTATTAAAAGCTTTTGGCCCCAAATAAAAATTTTTATGTAGTTTAGTTTACAACTTTATTAATTTCTGTGGCAATCAGATGCTATGGCATAATAAAAACATATGCATTAATAATAATGCAATAAATACATGGAACTAATAAATTAATATAATTAAAAATTGTAATAAAAAATAATAAAATATTATAAATATATTGTGAATATAATATATGTAATTTATAAAAAATATAATTAATAAAATGATCAATGCAATTAAAATGTAACTTATAAATTAATAGAATAAAAATCATAATTAATAAAAATTGTGAATCAAATAAATGTAATTAATAAATGAATATAATAAAACATACAATTAATAAAAATGACTAATGCAATAAATAAACGCAAGTAATAAATTAATACAATTAGAATAAATAATTAATTACAAATTATAAATTCAATAAATCAATTGAAGTAACAAATTTAAATAGCATTAATAAAATATTATAAATGCGTTAAATAAATGAAAATATTAAATTAGTATAATTTAAAATATATAATTAAAAATGTACAAGCATCAGTCAAAGAAATAACTTCGGATTGCGAGCTCTAGAACAGGCAGCAAGTTAAATATTTCATTTGCTTGATTTTATATAAACGGTAAATCACGGCGCTTGCAACGCCAAGGTCATGAGTTCGATTCCCAGGGAAAGCAAGAAGTGATGAAATGTAAATGTGCACCTTGAATGCAATGCCAATAAAATGCATAAATGCAAACGTTATGCTCACATTTGCATTTATGCATTTTATTGACATTGCATTTATGCATTTTATTTATGCATTTTATTGACATTGCATAAATGCATAAATAAAATGCATATATGCAATGTCAATAAAATGCATAAATGCAAACGTGAGCATAACGAGCTCAACCTCTGTGTCTCAGGGATCCAGCTGAGGAAGGTGGAGGAGCAGCGGGAACAAGAGGCCAAACACGAGCGCGTGGGGAACGACGTGGCCACAATCCTGTCGCGCCGCATCGCGGTGGAGTACAGCGACTCCGAAGACGAGGACGAGTTCGACGAGGTCGACTGGATGGAATGAGAGAAAGACGAACGTCACGGGATCAAGAGTTTCATGAAATCTCAGCTAACCTTCTTCCCAATAACAGTTTTCCCACAAACACTCTCCGATCAGTCGCAGTCTAATTCAGGAAACATCAGGACTGCAGACGACTGTATTCCATGTTCCCAGAATGCTTTGCTTTAATGTTTTTTAACCACTTGTTGTGCAATTGATGAATGAAAATAACCATGTTGGGGTTTTTTTATCTGTCAGATTTCTTTCATTTGAATTCGTCCGTCTTTTATTCTTAATAGGAACAACAAAAGCGGTTGGTTTGTTGTTATAGTTCAGCGCGAGAGACGACAGCGGCCTCTTCTGGTCACGACAGGAACGTCTCAATGTGTCAGAATGTGACGGATGATTATTATACTTTCTATATCATCTAAACCGTTCTTCCATTTCAGAGATGTGATGTTTGATGTCATTTTGTGCTTGTGATGGACAAAGTCAAAGGAAAAAAATGAAGGAACGTTTTTATTAACTTGTCAAGACGACTTAAAATACACGAGTGAATCTCTTGTCCAGGTTATATTTCACCTCACAATGAAAAATGTAAAAAATTTAATAAAAAATGTTAATTTCCCATTAAGAAAATGCATTTTCATTTTTTATTTCTCTTTTTAAATTTAATTACACTTTTTTTTTTTTTGCATTGTGATCTTGCATTTTGTTGTGCATATACATTCATACACACACATATATATATATATATATATATAATTTATTTATTAATTTGGAGGAAAAATGTGTTGAAATATATTTAATTAAAATTAAAAATTATTAATACAATAAATAAATGCAGCATAAATTAATATAATTTAAATACATAAGGATATATTAAATTAACAAAATTAATAAACTAGTACAATAAAAAATTATAATTAATAAAAAATATTATTGCAATAATATTTAAACTCATACGTGCACATAATTTTAATATATAAGTAATTAAAATAATGCAATTAATAAATTAATATTATTAGAAAATATAAATTAATAAATTAGGATAATTAAAAATATTAATTTTTTAAAATGTATATGCATCAAATAAATAACAAGTAGCTCTGTTGAAACTTACGATTGTGAGTTCTAGTACAAGCAATGCATTAAATATGTAATTTGATTGATCTTATATAGATAGACAGTAGATCAGTATAGACAGTAGGTTTGAGTCCCAGGGAAAGCAAGAAGTGCTCAAATGTAAACGCGTACATTGAATGCAATGTTTGTCTCACTGGAGCGCATAAATGTGAATGCAAATATAAGGAGCTTTACCTCGGTGTGTCTCTCAGGGATCCAGCTGAGGAAGGTGGAGGAGCAGCGGGAACAAGAGGCCAAACACGAGCGCGTGGGGAACGACGTGGCCACAATCCTGTCGCGCCGCATCGCGGTGGAGTACAGCGACTCCGAAGACGAGGACGAGTTCGACGAGGTCGACTGGATGGAATGAGAGAAAGACGAACGTCACGGGATCAAGAGTTTCATGAAATCTCAGCTAACCTTCTTCCCAATAACAGTTTTCCCACAAACACTCTCCGATCAGTCGCAGTCTAATTCAGGAAACATCAGGACTGAAGACGACTGTATTCCATGTTCCCAGAATGCTTTGCTTTAATGTTTTTTAACCACTTGTTGTGCAACTGATGAATGAAAATCGGTCATATTTCTTTCATTTGAATTCATCCGTCTTTTATTCTCAATAGGAACAACAAAAGCGGTTGGTTTGTTGTTATAGTTCAGCGCGAGAGACGACAGCGGCCTCTTCTGGTCACGACAGGAACGTCTCAATGTGTCAGAATGTGACGGATGATTATTATACTTTCTATATCATCTAAACCGTTCTTCCATTTCAGAGATGTGATGTTTGATGTCATTTTGTGCTTGTGATGGACAAAGTCAAAGGAAAAAAATGAAGGAACGTTTTTATTAACTTGTCAAGACGACTTAAAATACACGAGTGAATCTCTTGTCCAGGTTATATTTCACCTCACAATGAAAAATGTAAAAAATTTAATAAAAAATGTTAATTTCCCATTAAGAAAATGCATTTTCATTTTTTATTTCTCTTTTTAAATTTAATTACACTTTTTTTTTTTTTGCATTGTGATCTTGCATTTTGTTGTGCATATACATTCATACACACACATATATATATATATATATATATAATTTATTTATTAATTTGGAGGAAAAATGTGTTGAAATATATTTAATTAAAATATATTAAAATATTATATAATATATAAACACACACAAATATATAGGTTATATTCTATAAATATTATTTTAAAAAATTATAAATAATTGTTAAAATATGTAAAATAATTTTTCCTCCAGATTAAATACATTAATTCTAAAATGGTAATTTAGCCCTAAAATGGGCTTAATTTTCTTTTTCTTTCTTTCTTTTTTATTTTATGATATTTTTTCTAAATTATTTCTTTGATTTAAGGGTGAAATGTGACATGTTTTCATGAGATTAATCCATTGAAATGTCGACACCTTCCCATAAAGGTCAAACAAAAAACATTGTAAAACATTGTGGCCTTTTTCTTTCTGAGGTCTATAAATTGTAATTTATTGCATTTCTCAATTTACGAACAAAATAAAATTGTAATAATTGTTTGCCAAAACGTGAGAACAGACCTAGTCATATTTCAAACCAGACTTCGTGAGTGAACAAGAGATGAGAGTAAACGCTCGTCGTCTGTCGCTGTTGGGACTGAACGCTGGTTTCTCTTTCTTAGGCCTTAAGGTTTGTATAAATGTTGATGAGTTGAATGTATTGTGCTGTTACTACTTTTGCCTGCATTTCTCCAGCATTCGCTGTTTCTATGTTCCAAACGGAAAAAAGAGTTTCAGAAACAAAGATTAAACATGATTTAAAATACTGTATACCGTGTAACGTATGTAACTGTTTACTGTAACAGTTTGCTTGAATTAATAAAAACTAGTGTTCAAGGTTCTGACAGGATATACTGAATTATGGTGTCATCCATTCATAAGAGGAGTTCGGTGACGGAAACAGAAATATTTAGACATTTATGAGCATTTACACAAACTTTTAAATGTAAAATGAAGGCATAAATATACACCAGAATCATAATCGCAGGAAATAATGCATCACAAGCCCGAAGTTGTTGATTTTCCTGCAATGCGGACAGAAAACAAGATTGAAACTAGATGCCAAAAATCAATAATATTGATTTAGTGACTCTCAAAAGAACTAAAATATCCACAGGTCATAAATTCAATGGAAAGTTATTTTAGAAATTATTTTTCATAAAGAAATGTATTTTTATATTATTTTAAGAAGATTTTTGAGATTTTTTTGAGACATTGTGACATTGCATAAGTGATATTAAATTATACATAAACATTTTGGAACAAACTAAAAAAGTGATAAAAACTCGGTGACGGAAACAGAAATATTTAGACATTTATGAGCATTTACACAAACTTTTAAATGTAAAATGAAGGCATAAATATACACCAGAATCATAATCGCAGGAAATAATGCATCACAAGCCCGAAGTTGTTGATTTTCCTGCAATGCGGACAGAAAACAAGATTGAAACTAGATGCCAAAAATCAATAATATTGATTTAGTGACTCTCAAAAGAACTAAAATATCCACAGGTCATAAATTCAATGGAAAGTTATTTTAGAAATTATTTTTCATAAAGAAATGTATTTTTATATTATTTTAAGAAGATTTTTGAGATTTTTTTGAGACATTGTGACATTGCATAAGTGATATTAAATTATACATAAACATTTTGGAACAAACTAAAAAAGTGATAAAAACACAATGTTATAAAAGTACATAATTGTCATTTTTAATTGTAATTATGTATTTATTTTCATTTTGGGGTGAAATATGACCATGCACATTTTCGACCAGTTTTCCGAGATTTACCCTAATATAAGATGACATCAATCATCTTATATTAATGTAGTCTGAACTACCATTCTAACAAAAATAATTATAGATGATCTGGCCGTTTTTATACAGTTGTCACATTCTTAATAGATTTGTTGCTTTTTGTGCTTTTTCAAAACATTTAAAACAATATATATATATATATATATATATATATATATATATTTCTTTTTTATTAAACTGTTACTTTTACATATATCAAACCAAATCCTAAATATTTTAGATGTCAGTACAACAGTATTTCACATTCAAACTAAACGTGAGATTTGAATGTGACTCACCAGCGCCGTCTGTCTGTCAATCAGAGAAGCGCATCCGGCCAAATCCGACCTGTAGTGCGCCGCTGTGGCCTGTAGATGGCGCTACAGCGTCAATAATCAATCCCTGAGAAAAATGCAGTAAAATCTGAAGTAAAAAATCACAAAAGAAGAGACAAACGGCTGCTGTCACTTACTGTAAAGGTCTTATTTAACTAAACGCCATTTTCAATTACTTTAATGTTGACCATACATTCTCTTTTTCCCGGACTAATTATTGAAAATTAATTAAAATTAAAATAATAATAACATTGCATGTAGGCGTGTTTTCAACCGTTCTCTGTAGATCCCGCCTTCTCGCACGCCACGATTGGTCAATTATGTACAGTCCCTGCACGCTATTGGTCAAACTACTTTTCAGTCATTACCTTCAGCAAATATGAAAACAGTAGGTAAACAAAGACAAATCCTAGACACTAGCCAGGAAAAATAGAGGAGATCTTTAAAGGGGTCATGAACTGCTTTTGTTTTATTTCATTTGTACTGTTCTCTGAGGTCCACTTATAATGTTATCAAGATTTTTACATCAAAAAACATCATCATTTATAATTAATATACTATTTCTGTTCTGTTTTAACCCCCGTCTTCAGAACGCTCTGTTTGAATAGGCGTGGAGGATTGTAAACTCAGAAGTAAACGCCCACTGCTGTGATTGGCTAATAGATGGACGCTGCTGTGATTTAGGTTAAAAACGCATTAATACTCAGTAAATGTCAAACGATCTGTTTAACAGACAAAGCAATAGTGATCGCGTAATAAACACAGATACGCACGCTTGTGTGATACGACATTACTGTCGGATCCAATATAGTCGCATAGCATCATCTTTTGGTTTCAATCTTTCTGAAAATCCCGTGTCGAATTGTGCCTTGTTTGTAAATGAATCCGCGGTAAAATGAAGCGAACAAAGGATCGAGTTCTTACTGACGCGGTCTGGATCTTCATTAAAAAATAAAGTTCATTCACTCTTTCCTAATGTTGGGATCAGAAGGAAGGCGATGTGTTATCACAACGCGTCTTCTTGTCTTCAGAGCATCTTTATCGTTTGGTTTCTGCTTAGACCTGTGCATTCGCTTCTCTCCTAAACACTACATGCGAAAATCGGTGGGCGGGGCTAAACAGGCAGCGATGTGGAATCGGTGGGCGGGGCTAAACAGGCAGCGATGTAAAATCGGTGGGCGGGGCTAAACAGGCAGTAGCGTAGAATCGGTGGGCGGGGCTAAACAGGCAGTGGCGTAGAATCAGTGGGCGGGGCTAATCAGGCAGCACTGTAGAAGCAGGTGTTGATCTTCTTCTGCAGAGGCGGTGCTTATCCACA